GTCCCTTTGTCCCCTTTGTCCCCTTTGTGTCTCCCCCCTACAGGTTTTAACCCAACCCGTCGGCCAGGTGCGCAAAGATGGCGCAGATTTCCCACGATAATTGTTTAATCTGCGCGTTGGCTGAAGCTGACCTTCCTTGATTCTTATAACAAGCATGCGCGCGCTGTAATCTGCTGTCGTACTGAGACAAAGCATTCGAAGGAAGATATTGGCCTGGGCCCCTAGCACATACACACATACATATATACATATGTATATATATATGCATACACATATGTATGTGTATATGCATATATACACATACGTGTATATATATATATATATAAATGTGAGTATATGCACACGTGTCTACATAAACATGTATATTGTGGCCTTCGGCCCATCTCGCCACTGTGCCTGGGCTGTGGGTATGAAGCCCAATGGATATTAGTTGGGATCTCGTGGCAGACCTTTCGGGGGCCTCTTGGAGGCAGTTTGGAGGCCTTTTGGGGGCTGTTGCGGGGCCTCTTGAGGGCCTCTTCTAGCCTCCTGGGCGCCTCTCGGTGCCTCCCGGGGGCCTTTCGGGGTGGATAGCTCGGATTTTCGGTTCGTATTCCCTTTCTTGGGCCCCTTTTGGGGCCGTTTCGGGCCCCTCTTGGGCCGTTTTGGGCGCCCTTTGGGCGGTCCTGGGGCGCTCTTGGGCCATCTTGGGGCCCTCTTGGAGACCCCTTTGGCTGTTTTGGGTAGTCTTGGGGGCTCTTGACCCGTCTTGGAGCGTCAGAAAGCCGCAAAGGCGAGACCGCCAAAATCGTTCCAAAACCTACCGGAGATGTATGTTTGTTGCCTCTTGGAGCCCTCTTCTGAGGCCTCTTGGAGGCCATCTTGGGCGTCTTAGACTGATCCCTCGGCGACTCGGTCTTGGGGGCCTCAGAGGCCCTCTCGGCCCGTCTTCGGGCCCTCCTAGGCCCGAACAGGTCATGTGGACGCATTTCCCGGAGCCCAGGGGGGCACGCGACAAGCCCATTTGAGAATTTGGGGCCCCTGCCCCCGTAAAGGGCCTTCAGGACTGAGGACTAAGGCTCCAGGGATCAGGCAAAGGGCTTGAGGACACGCCCACTCCGTGCCCAGGGGCACAGCGGCGTGTGTGTGTGTGTATATGCGTATGTATATGTATATGGGTATGCATAGGTATATGTATATGTATGTGTGCTTGTAAGTGTATAGGTGTATGAATGTGTATAGGTGTATGTATATGTGTCTGTGTATGTGCCGATGTAAGTGTATACGTAGATGCATAGATGGATGCATATGTAGATGTGTATGCATATGTCTATGCATATGTGTATGCATATGTGCATCCACATGCATGTGCATGTGTAAATGTGCAAATGTGCATGACTATGTGTATGCATAGCTGTATGCAAAAGTGCATGCCAATGTATTTGCATACGCATATGCATATGTGATTGTATATGTATGTATGTACCGGTATCTGCGTATGTATAGGTATATGTATGTGTATGTGTATATGTATATGTAAGTATATGTGTATATGTATGTGTACATGCATTTGTACATGTACGAGTATATGTTTATGAATATGTATACTTCCCAATCAGAGCGTCTCTGTAGGCTTCCTAGGGGATTCATATGGTTAGGTGAGGTTTGCCGCCGATTTTCGCGGCCCGCCCAGGTGCCCCGGTGTTTGGCTGCCCGGGTGCCCAGGTGCCCGGGTGCCCGGGTGCCCGGGTGCCTTCGCCTTATAGCCCTATAGCACTATGGCCCCATAGACCAATAGCCCTGTAGCCCCATAGCCTAATAGCCCTATCGCCCTATAGCCTTAGAGCCCTAGAGCCCGAGAGCCCGAGAGCCCTACAGCTCTATAGCCCTACAGCCCTATAGCCATATAGCCCTATAGCCCTATAGCCCTGTAGTCCTACAGCCCTACAGCCCTGTAGCCCAATAGCCCCATAGCCCCAAAGCCCTATAGCCCGATAGCCCAATAACCCAATCGACCTATAGCCCTACATCCCTACAGCCCTGTGACCCTATAATCCTATAGCCTTATAGCCTTATAGCCCTTCAGCTATATAGCCCTGCAACCCCATCGCCCTATAGCCCCCAACCCCCATAGCCCTATAGCCCTATATCCCTATAGTCCTGTGGTCCTATAGCACTATAGCCCCATAGCCCTATAGACTCATAGCCCTATGGCCCTATAGCCCTGTAGCCCCATAGCCCCAGAGGCACGGGCTGGTTTCGCCGTGGCTGGTGTCGCCGGGGCTGGTTTCGCCGGGGCTGGTTTCGCCCGACGTTGGTTTCGCCAGCGCTGGTTTCGCCCGACGCTGGTTTCGCCAGCGCTGGTTTCGCCAGCGCTGGTTTCGCCCTGCTGGTTTCGCCGGGGCTGGTCTGGCCGAGTCCGCTGCCGCCGCCGTCGTTGTCGTCGTCGCCGTTGCCATCGTCGTCCTCCTCCTCCTCCTCCTCGTCCTCCTCCCCCTCCTCGCTCCTCGTCCTCGTCCTCCTCCCCCTCCTCCTCCTCCTCCTCGTCCTCGTCCTCCTCCTCCTCCTCCTCCTCCTCCTCCTCCTCCTCCTCCTCCTCCTCCCCGCCTCTTCCTCCTGGCCCTCCTCCTCCTCCTCCTCGTCCTCGTCGTCGTCGTCCTCCTCCTCCTCCTCCTCCCCCTCCTCGTCGTCCTAACAGTCGGGTCGGGCGGGCGGGACATGGAAGTGTGGTGCATAATCGAGTGGGCACCAGATAGCCCGAACGGTCGGGTCGGGTCGGGTCGGGCGGATCCTAACGGGCGGGTCGAGTCGGGTCGGGTCGGGTCGGGGTCGGACCCATTAAACAGGAGGGCGGGTATCGGTCGGGCGGGCGGGACATTAAAGTAAAGTGTGGTGCATAATCGAGAGGGCACGCGAGAGCCCTAACGGTCGGGTTGGGACGGGTCGGGCGGACCCTAACGGGCGGGTCGGGGTCGGGACGGGCGGGCGACCCTAACGGGCGGGCCGGGTCGGGCGGGCGGGACATGAAAGTGTGGTGCATAATCGAGAGAGCACGCGAGAACCCTAACGGTCGGGTCGGGTCGGGTCGGGCGGACCCTAACGGGCGGGTCGGGTCGGGTCGGGACGGGCGGACCCTAACGGGCGGGTCGGGTCGGGTCGGGTCCGGCGGCCCTAACCCTCTTCCCTCCTCCCTCCGTCCTGCCCTCCCTCAGCCACCTCCTCCACCACCTCCACCTCCCCCCTTGTCCTCCTCTTCCTCCTCCTCGTCCTGCCCCCCCTCCTCCTCCTCCTCCTCCTCCTCCTCCTCCTCCTCCTCCTCCTCCTCCTCCCCCTCCTCCTCCTCCTCCTCCTCCTCCTCCTCCTCCTCCTCCCCTCCTCCTCCCTCCCCCCCTATAGCCTCGTCATTCTCCTCCTCTTCCTCCTCCTCCTCCTCCTTCCCTCCCTCCTCCTCCTCCTCCTCCTCCTCCTCCTCCTCCTCCTCCCCCTCCTCCTGCACCTCCTCCAGCAGCCGGGCGAAAGCAGCCGGGCGAAAGCAGCCGGGCGAAATTAGCCGGGCGAAACCAGCCCGGGCGAAACCAGCGTCGGGCGAAACCAGCCCGGGCGAAACCAGTTCCGTGCGAAATCAGCCGGGCGAAACCAGCTGGGCGAAACCAGCCCCTGGCGAAAACAGCGGCTGCCGCCCCAGAGCCCCATGGCCCTATAGCCTACAGCCCTATGGCCCTACAGCCCTATAGCCCCATGGCCCTATAGGCCTATAGCCCTACCGAGCTATAGACCTATAGCCCTATGGCCCTATGGCCCTATAGTTCCATAGTCCTGTAGCCCCAACCCCCTTATAGCCCATTAGCCCCACAACCCTGTAGCACTAAACAATAGTGCTTGGGGCTTTTCTCCAGTCTCATGCATGTCTAAATGCATTTCTAAATGTATATGTCTACGTACATATACACAAATCCATACATACACACATGCATACATACATGCATGCATGTATGCATGTCTGCATACATACAGGCATACACATATACACATACACACATACACATGCACACATACATATACGCACATACATACATACATACGTACATACATACATACATACGTACGTACGTACATACATACATACATACATGCATGCATGCATGCATGCATGCATGCATACATACATACATACATACATACATGCATGCATGCATACATACATACATACATACATACATACGTGCGTACGTACGTACATACATACATTCATTCATACATACACATATATTTGTATATGTATATATACACGTTGCCGCTGCGAACGTTCGGCTAACATACAACGCCTCCCGTTAGGCCGCGGGGCCCCAATACATTGTTCTGGTTAAATAAGTGTTCGCTACAGTTTCGGGAGACTGCGCCCTTTCGAATTCGAAGCCGATGTTTCGAAATCCAGTCGAGGTTGTTTGTTGGATGACGTCTCAAGCGCACTTTGCGCTTTCGAAATCTCTGGTCATATTTGGAATGTTACATACGACAAGGTGTGGCCATTTCGGAAAGACGGTTTCGCTGGAGACTTTCTCAACAAACCATTTCGAACGACTTCGAACTTTCGGGTTCGATTTCGAAATGGCGCTCCCGCCCAAGATTCCCCTCCAAACTATTTTCGACATTTTCTGTTTCGACTTGGAAGTGGCGCTCCCGTCCATGACTTCCTCCGAGACAGAATTCGAATGCTTTCGGGTTCAATTTGGAAATGGTGCTCCCGCAGAGCTTCCTGAAAACTGGAATGCGAAACCCTTCCGGCTCGATTTCGAAATGGCGCTCCCGCCGGGGACTTCTGCGAACACAGAGGTCGGCACGTCTACAGCTCGCACATGCACTGGCGCTCCCGCCTAAAGACTTGTCTGGGTGGAAGCACGACGTGCGTCAAAACCTTCGCAGCGCCGACGCAGGCATGCACACCAACGCACGTATGGAGGTCGACGCCGTCGGGGTCGTCGTCGGGCGGGCCAGCCTCCGGGTGCGGCGTGCGCGCCCAGGCGGCCCAGCCGCCCGCCAGGCGGGTCAGCGGCGGGCCGTCTAGGCCTCGCTGGGGGGGGGGGGCGGGGGCGGCAAGGAGGGGCTGGCGACTGCTCACCAGCCTCGAAAGTATCCCTATCCCTACGATTGACACGCTAAAAGGAGAGGACAATCTTAGGGATGCAACCCTCAGAAACTGAGGGAATCCCCAAGATCGCCATCGTGATGCGGCGATGCCCAACACAGGGATAGGGATGTGTTCCAGGCTGGTAAGCTGCGAGTGGCGCTGTGAAGTGGGCGTGCGATGTGGCGCCGCCGGCCCGCTAGAAATGCGCGCCAGCCACCTCGGGGGCGGCGGGCGCCGAGGAAGCCCCGGCAGGGGCACGGGGCGCACAGGAGGGGCCCTCGCGGGGGGGATCGCCGCGTGGCAGGGGCCGCGATGCTTCTCCATTCCAGGAAGGGGTGCCGACCCCGCGACCCTTGCCTCGTTTTCTTCGCACTCTGGGCCTCCCAGGAGGCCCGCATCGCCACGGCTGGATTCGCATCGGAATGCTAGTCAGAGCGCCCCCTAGGAGAGGTCCAGGGAGTAGGTGTATCCGTACCTCGCTGTCACCCCTTCTCCGTCGTCGAAGGTGGAGGGGGGAGGAAGTTCTCATTGGTTCTTGGCGAGTATTGTTAAGTCGGGCCTGTCCCTCCCCAGGAGGAATATTCAAAATTAGTAAAAAATGGTCTGGGGACTGTTTTTTGAGTATTTGTTTGGCAAGTTTGGAATGTGGTTTGAGTATGTTTGATTTGTCGTCGAAAATTAGGGGGACAAGCCCGACTTAAGAGTATTGGAGATCTTCTCGTGTCGGTATTATTTCCAACAGCTGCGCGTCGTCGGGAGCTCTCCAGGGGTGCCCGGCTCGTCCCGGACCGGCCGCTGGAGGCCCGAGTTGGTGGCCCGAGAACCACCAGGCGTCGAGGGGGGGTAAACGAATAAGGCGGCGGCATTGGTTACGGTAGGTTCGCGTCGTGTCGACCGGCGGCGACCTCGTCGCCGGCGTTCAACGTTGAACATCGTTGACGGCCCAGAATCGGTCGACGTTGAACGATCGGACGTTGCGGAAACGACCGATCGTTCAAGGTTGAACGATCCCCGCGGTGTCAGGAACCAACGCCGGGGTCGACATGACACGGACCTGCCGTAAGGACTTGGCATCGCTCGGACGTATGCATTTTTACTTCGGCGTGGACCATCGAGAACCATCGAGGTCAGGGTCATCTGGCGAAGAACCACGCACGAAACGGAACAGAAAACACAGGGAATGGACGTCCGAGCGGTGGCGAGAGGAATGTGCCCAGGAGGCTTCAGACCCTGGAGGATTCCTTATCTGAAGGGGGGGGGGCTATCGGAGGTGGACAGACCTCCTACCCTGACACGTCGATGAAGGAATCGGCCGTTTTCGGTTCGCGAGAGGGCGTCGCGGCCGTCATTTTTGCGGGTCCAGGTCCGTCGGTTTCGGTCATAGGTAGTTTTCCACTAAGGGGGGGGGTTACTGAAGGGAGGTTTGTCCACCGCCTGGGGTAATTTTCGCCAAATCATGGGTATCCCACATTCCCACCCGCAGCTTGTGTTGCAAATCCATGCGGCCGCGATTGCGATGACCGCTCGGCGTTGGCCTGCGCATCTCTGCGTCCGTGCTGGCGCGCGCAGGCTCGTGCTCAGAGTGGCCAACTGGTTTGGCACAGCCGATGCGGCCGCGATGGCGCTGACCGGCGGCAACTTCCCAGGGCGTCTCAAAGGCCGCGTTGGCGTGCAGGTTCTTCAATGCGGGTCGGTGGCTCCGGCAGGCGCGGTGTCATGATGCCGTCGACGGTGGTGCCAACGACTATTATAGTAGCGATGGTGTGGCGATGATGACAACGACGACAAGGCCAATTCTGGCGCCGATGCTGGTGTTGCCCATCACGATGATGATGTCCATGTGTCAGTGATGATGGCGGCAATGGCAGCGAATTTCCATGACGATGACGTGGCGTGGCGACGCGGATCGGGGCGATGTTGAGGAAATGCGCGCGCGGAAAGTCAACAAAAATTGGCCAGCTGTTCGTTGTCTGTAAAGCACGCCTATGTTTCCTTGCGTCACTTCATCTGGCAATTAAAGGCCACCCTTTCGTTGAAACGATAACGCATCCAGCGCCCAGAAGCGTGATTCTGGCACCCTAGCACTTGGCCGTGTCTTAGCATTCCTCCGGAGTTTCCAGCAACCTTCGAAAGTGGCAGGAAGGAGGAAGAGGAAAAAGAGGAGGAAGAGGAAGAGGAGGAAGAAGAGAACAGGAGGAGGAGGAAGAGGAGGACGAGTGTTAGTATTCGTTTAAATCATTACACGGGTAATTTGCGGACGGTGATTTATATGATTTGGGCAGTTTGCTACGCAGTACTAATACTAAACAGTACTGCGGCGACGGTTACTAATAGTAGCATTTACTAATACCAGTACTACTACTACTTCTACCACCACTACTACGACTACTACTACTACTACTACTACTACTACTACTACTACTACTACTACTACTACTACTACTACTACTACTACTACTACTACTACTACTACTACTACTACTACTACTACTACTACTACTACTACTACTACTACTACTACTACTACTACTACTACTACTACTACTACTACTACTACTACTGAAGCCGCCGCAAGAGTTGCAAACGGGGGGCTTCTGTATGTTGGGGTCAGAGTGACTTGGATGGGGTGGGGTGGGTGATAGGGGGCCAAAAGTGGGGGTGTGGGGGGCGGGGGGGGGGGGGTCGGGGAAGGGGTCAGGGGGGGGGGGTTGGGGGTTGGGGGGGGGGAGGGGGAGGGAGGGGGGGGGGGGGGCATTGGGGGAGGGGTGGGGGGATGGCGCGGGGGAGAGGGGAAAGGAGGTATGGGGCGAGGCAGCCACCGCCACCGCGCCATCGCACCTCCCACATCCACCAAGCTCATCGCCGCCCACCGACAATTCCCCAGCAAACACCAGCACCACCACCAACACCACCAGCCGCCAATCAATCGACTGCGTTGCGTGCCAACATCTACACGGTGCCACCAAAATACATTTATATGTCTAACTTCCGTCATGCATGACGTCCAAGCGACTGAATTGTTGTGCCGCGCCGGCGCCATAGACCACCGCGCCCGTTGGAGTAGCAACCGGATCTCACGCGCCTGGGGCCCGAAGCGGGCCGTGGACTACGCCTGGGGACGTGCGCCCGCATTGCACGGCGCTCCGCGCTTGAATGCGCGGGGCGCTTTGCTGTGCGGGCCGTCGGTTTTTCAATCGCGCGCCCCACCTAATGCCAATCAGCTTGCGTTGCGTTGCCGTTGCATTGCGTTGTGCCCCGCGCCACGGATCCGATTGCGCGCACCAGTGCGCGCGCTATGCGGCGCGCGCCTCGTATTAAGGGGCTTGTCTTGGGCCAACTTTTGGGCATTGTGCCGTGCCGCTGTTCCGTGCCGTGCCGTTGTTCACTGTTGTTCCGTTCCGTGCCGTGCCGTCTTCCGTTCCAATTTGAAATTGATGTCATAAGACTGTCCACTTGCGTGTTTATCAAATCCATGGTTTGTTCATCCGGTGCTGTTTTTTTTCGGCCCCGTGTGTTCCCGCGTGCCACGCACCATCGCCCGTGGCGATGGATTTACTTGACGTCGCCGACGCGGCGGCGGATGGCGGCGGCGGCGGCGGCGGAGCCGCCAGCAGTTCTGGTCTGGCACTGCCGCGCCGCGGCCAGCAGCCTCGCGCTCGCGCGGCTGCTCTGGCCGCCTCCGCGGGGCCCTCGAGGTCAGCCGCGTCGCGGCTGGATCGAATCCTTCATCAGGAAGAGGTTCTCAAGCGAGCCAGGCTGTCAAAACAGTTGAAGTCGGCTCGCGCACAGGCCGCTCAGGCCAATGCCGACAAGGCGACGTATGGTGCCGCCTGGAATACCACGCAGTTGTCTTGCGGTGACCATGTCGACCAGACAGATGCTGTGCACAAGATGCAATATGATTTACACAATTCTTTGAGATTGGCGTTTTCGAAGCGGGTGGATGATGGTTCGCGAGGCGGCCGTGGCCTTTCAGCACTTGGTGCCGTGTGTCACGCTGCCCTTGGGATCCAGCATGCCGCGGCACAGGAGCGACACACTCTTGCAGATGAGTGCCCTTCATTATATATAGAGCGCAGTTTTGATGATACCCCACTTCACCTGAACTTCGGAGTTCTTGTCGAAGAGCTTCAGCCATTCGTGCGCTACGTTGTCCCACGTGAACAGCGCCATTTTGTGAATGGCAGGGCCCTCGCATCGTATTCAGAGCTTCTCAAATATAAGATCAAAGGGTCTCAGCACGGCGTCATGGACATTTTCTGCGAGCAGATCGTCGTTGATGTCGGCCCAGGCGGGCAGGGCAATGCGATGACGAAGGTGAGGACGAATGGGAGGAGGTGGCGGTTGGGGAGGGAGGGAGATTGGCGGGGGCTGGGGGAGGAGGTCCACCTCCTCCTCCTCCTCCTCCTCCTCCTCCCCCGCCGTCCCCTCTTCCCCCTCCTCCTCCTACTCCTCCTCCTCCTCCTCCTCCTCCTCCTCCTCTCCCTTCCTTCCTCCTTCCTTATGTTATGACTCCCCTCCTCCTCCTCCTCCGCGTTCTCCTCCTACCCCTCCTCCTCCTCCTCCTCCCCCTCCTCCTCCTCCTCCTCCTCCTCCTCCTCCTCCTCCTCCTCCTTGTCCTCTTCGCACTCCCCCCCACTCCTCTCCTGCCCCTCCCCCTCCCCCCCCGCGGGGGGACGAGGAAGGGGGGGGGCGGGCGCGGACAGGGGCAGGGCGGGTAAGTCGCCCGCTGGCCCCTCGAAGGCGGCGGCCACTTCGTCTTGAACGTTCCCCCTCGGATCATGAAGGGGAAGACCGCTGGCCACATCGAGCGCGCGCTCGAGTCGGCCTTGGCGGGGTCCTACGGCCACGGCGCCATGTCGGCGTTGCCGAAGGACTCCCGGGGGGAAGGGGGATGGATCGAGGTCGTCCGGGAGTTGACGACTGGCGACGAGGAC